ACCATACATCAGTAGTAAAGTAGTCATTGTTGATTAAGGGTGGAATTATGTACTTTAGACAGTCAGCTAAGCAGAAGGTAGAATAGACACTTCTTCTGAAAATTAAGTGGTCTAAATAAGGATTTATGGTAGAAAAGATGCATGGAAATACCTTAGGAAGATCTGTAAATATGTTAAGATTTTTTCTTAAAAAAAAAAAAGAGATGGTAAATGACTACACCACATAACATGGCTATAGTAGTTTTTTATTATTTTCCACAGTGATTAAAACTAATCACCCACTCTGGTCATCAGAAAATCTGGAAATTGCTTCTCCACAATGTCTAATTTTACACATTGTGATTTTCTTGTGAACCTTCCCAACTTCTATTAGCAAAATGTACCAATATGTCAGTAAATAGTTGATATAATGCATAGCTTTCTTGGATTATCTTTACTTGTTTAAAACTAGTTTGAGAAATCAATTTCACTCTCTAGCCTGAAACTATCTCTAGTAGAGAATTATTTGGGCTATGCTTGACCATTTTTCAATGTACTTGAACTCATGAGAGTCTCTCCAATCATCTTTATTTTGTTTTTTTTTTTTTTGTAATCTCATTTTTTTTTTTAATAGGAAAAGGGATTATTTGTGATTTGCTCACTTTATTCTTTGGGTGATTACAGAAGCAGTATATTTCATTGTATGCCTAAGTATATGTTCACATGCACATTTGCACAAGTAGCTGTGGGTCATAGAAGGCCAACCCAAGATGGAGCCACAGAGTTATAGTTATCACAGGGACCCAGAGTGTGATAAACATGCCAGTAGATAAGTAGATGTGTACTGAGAACACTTGGGCATCAAAATATACATGTCTTGAAATCTGAAAACCATGTTCATGGTTAATGAAATTGGCCATAAAGTACAATTACACCTAACCTCATAGTGACAAAATGTATCCAACATGTGGGGATGAGGATCTTAAGCCATTAGTTTGGTTCACTCACTTAATGGTTTATCTCCCCATGTCAGCCCCTCTGTGTACTCAGTTCAATTCTGTATTTCAGTGAAATTATTAATTCTTGAAATTCCTGGACCTTTAAATGCACTTAAAAAGAGTTAAAAATTACAGCTATTAAATCTATAACAGCCTACACTACAGCTTGAGGAACCAGAAAAAGAAGAGCAAACTAAGCCTAAAACTATCAGAAGAAAGGAAATAACAAAGATCAGAGAAGAAATAAATAAAATCAAAAACAGAAAAACAGTAGAGAAGCAACAAAACCAGAGGTTGATTCTTTGAAAAAATCAATAAAATTGCAAACGTTTAGCTAGATTGGCGAAGGAAAAAGAGAAAAGATGCAAATAAAAAAAAAGAAAGAAAGAAAAAGAAATGACAGAGGAGACATTACGACTAACTTGATAGAAATAAAGAGAATTATGACAGAATATTATGAACAACTGTATGGCAACGAACTAGATAACCTAGATGAAATGGACAAATTCTTAGAAGCATACACCCTACCCAAACTGACTGAAGAGGAAAACCTCAACAGACCCATAACAAGTGAAAACATACAACATATACTTTGAGGTACACAGTTTAATCCATAACAATGATCAAGTGAAATTTATTCCAGGAATGGAGGGATTGTTCAACATTAGAAAATCTATCAACATAATACACCACATCAATAAAACCAAGGAAAAGAACCACAGGGTCATTCTCTATGGATGCAGAAAAAGCATTTGATAAAATCCAATATGCTTTATTCACAAAAACTCTCAAGAAGATTAAAAGGGAAGTTTCTCATATGATTCAGTGCATATATGAAAAGCCAATAGCCAACATTATACTTAATGGAGAAAGATTGAGAGCATTCCTCTTGAAATCAGGAACAAGACAAGAGTGCCTGCTCTCACCACTTCTATAAATATTGTATTAGAAGTCCTAGTCAGAGCAATAAGACAAGAAAAGAAGAAGTAAAACTATCTCTTTTCATAGATAACATGATCCTATATATAGAAAAACCCAAAGAGTCCACAAGAAAGATTCTAGCAATAATAGTGGAATTTAGCAAAGTTGTAGGGTACAAGGTGAACAAGCAAAAATCAACTGAGTACTTATACACCAGCAATGAAAAATCTGAAAGGAAAATTGTGGGAGTGATTCCATTTACAGTAACATCTAAGAAGATAAAATACATAGGAATAAATTTAACCAGGGATGCAACCCAATCAAAATTCCAAGAGCCCTCTTTACAGAAATGGAAAAGCCAATCCTTGATTTTGTATGGAATGGTAAGAGGCCCCAAATAGCCAAAGCAATGTTGAAAAAGAAGAACAAAGTAGGACTTATACTTCCTGATTTTAAAACATATTATGCAGCTACACTAATTAAAACAGCCTGGTACAGGTATAGCAATAGACACATAAACCAATGGAATAGAGTTGAGAGTCCAAAAATAAACTCACATATCTATGGTCAACTAATTGTTAACAAGGGTGCTAAGTCCAATTGATGGGTAAAGAAGAGTCTTCAATAAACGGTGTTGGGAAGATTGGATTTCCACATGCAGAAAAATAAAACAGGATCCAAGCCTCACACCATACACAAAAACAAATTCAAAACGGATTAAAGACCTAAATGTGAAAACTAAAACCATAAAATTCTTAGAAGAAATGCAGGGCCAGTGCTGTCCAGTCTAGCTTTCAACAATAGGTTATTTAATGTAATAACAAAAACACAAACAGGAAAAGACAGACTAAATAAATGGGATCTCGTAAAAACTAAAAACTTTTGTTCATCAAAAGACTTTACTAAAAAGTGAAATGTCAAGCTACCGACTGGGAGAATATCTTCAGAAACCGTATATTCGATAAGAATCTAATAACCAAAATATATATAAAACCTTGACAACTTAACAACAAAATGACAAATAACCCAATCATAGAATGGGCAAAGACTTGAATAGACATTTTACCAAAGAGGACATACAAATGGCCACCAAATATCAAACATGTCATCAAAGCATGAAAAGATGTTCAATGTCATTAGCCATCAGAGAGCTGCAGATGAAAACCACAATAAGATACCATTTCACTCCTACCAGGATGGCTAAGATAAAAACAGCAACAACAAAAAAGAAAATACCAAATGTTGTAGAGAATGTGAGGAAATTGAAATCCTTATCCATTTCTGGTGGGAATGCAAAATGGTACAGCCATTGTGGAAAACAGTGTGGTGATTCCTCAAATAACTAATAATAGAATTACTATATGACCCAGAAATTCCACTCCTAGGTACATAAACCCAAAAGACTCGAAAGCAGAGACTCAAACAGATACTTGTACACCAGTGTTCATTGCAGCACTATTCACAATGGTCAAAAGATAGAAACAATCTAAATGCCCATCAACGGATGAATGGATAAGCAAAATGTGGCAGTAAGAGAAATGAAGTCTTGGTACATGCTATAATATGGATGGAATTTGAAGACATTATACTGAGTAAAATAAATCAATCACTAAAGAACAAACATTGTATGACCTCACTTATATAAAAAGACAAGAACAGGCAAATGTGTAGAGACCAAAGTTTATTAGTGGTTACAAGGGGTGGGAGGAAGAGACAGTAATGGAAAAATCGCATTGATTAAGGGTAGGGTTGCACAGCCGATTAATGTAATTGCTGTCAAAAAATTGTACACCTGTAAAAAGTTGAATTGGCAAAAGTTTTGTATATTTACAACAATGACAAAGGGGAAAAACAGTAGTTGCTGAGGCTGTTTATGTACAACCAAACATCTCGTGGGATTTGGTTCCTTGCTTTGGAGGGTTAGGGTCATGATTTCATGGGACATCCCAGTTAATTGGCCTAATAACACGTTCGGTGCTTCTGTTCTACCTCCTAGTTTCTTGTGCAGTGCCTGGAATCTTAAAAGCTTGCAAGCAGCCATTCAAGATAAATCAATTGGTCTATATTTCCCTGGAGCAACAGAGGAAGAAGGAAAGTTAGGAGTAGGAGGAGAAATGAAATAGGTGGCCAATTACCTACATGAACAAATGCTTCCTTTGCCATGAGATCAGGAGATTCGACGGTGCTGGCTACCATTACTGAACGTTTCGATCAAAGATTCTACAGAAGAATCCTGATCAAAAGAGGGGAAATGCAGAACAGAATTTCAAATTATCAAGGACTCCAGACTTTCTGGAGCCATGGAAACTGGATAAACCCCTAAAACTATTGCTCTGAGATAATATTCCCTGAAGTCTACTCAAAACCAAACAATAGTTTAGCTTAATTAGTAAAGAATGTCTACCTTGAGCATGGTGCTCTTTTAAGAACTATCTGTAAGGGATGAAATTGACAACAGCAACTCAAAAGATTAGATAAGAACTTAGGGGGCAGTGAGAATGGTTGCACAACTTGAAGAATGTAATCAATGTTATTGAATTGTACATGTAAAAAGTTTTGAATTGGTATATGTTCTGCTGTGTATATTCTCAACAAAAACAAAAATTATTATACATATATGTATATATGTATAACTTCCTAAAGTAAATTTTACTGAAAATAGAAGAGCAATTAGAAATTTCAGAAGTAAAATTAGTAACCCACATATGTCATTATATACTAAAACTTCCTAAGGGAAAATGGTGTAATGAAGAGGGCAGGTACTCAGTTTAGAAAAAGAGAAACATTCTTAAAACTTCTAGCACTTCCATTAACTAGCTGTGACCTTGTAGAGATTTATCTGTAAAATGAAACAGTCATATCTCTCATTGACACAAAATTGTTTATGATAGTTAACAGAGACAATATTAAGTGCCTATACAATTATGTTTCTCAGTCAGTAAAAACAATATATGCATATTTCCCTATTAGTCAGATCTTATTTTTCAGGACAAAAATAGGAGTTTGAAACCTAATTTTTCCTCCTCAAATCTAGATGTGCTAGGTGAATATTACAATTTAAGTGGCTACCGTTTATGTTTACACTGTATAATTTAATTACAGGTCTATCGATAGACTATATGGAAAACAAGCTTTATTGGATCAGTTCAGGAAATGGAACTATAAATAGGTGCAACCTGGACGGTGGTAATTTAGAAGTAATAGAGTCAATGAAAGAAGAATTAACAAAACCTACAGCCCTGACCATCATGGGTAAGTGCAATGGTTCTATAGCTGGGATGCTTCCTATTGATTGGAGGTTGATTGATTATGAACTGTTAAAAGCTTAAGAAAGTTACTGCTCTATTAACGCCAGAAGCACATTCGAATTGTACATCTCTATGAGGTTTTTTTTTTCTTTTTTTCCTTTTCTCAACTTTAGCAAACAGGCTTGTAATATTATACAGAGCAGACACTCAGTGTGTTGTCAGTAATACTAACTTTACTGTTACTGATTTTTGGCTTACTGTGACTTGTATTAGTTTACGATTATTTTCTGTGTTATACTGCAATGCTCTAAAGTGTAAGGGTCTTGTGTATTTGTCACATTAAAATAAAATCTGGCTTATCTGTGCTTATAAAGGATAGCTTGAGTCATACAGATAATTTGAGACAAGGCAACAGGGTCTAATTTGACCAATGGTTGAAGTATTCCTCTACAAATAATTATTTTTCATAGTTAGAAATAAGTAGAGATTTTACTGATTTGAGCCTCGTTTCCATTCCTTTTCATCTGTCTTCTGGATAAAAAGGGTACCAAGGAAAGTAAGACATTTAGGAAGCTAAGAGGGAGGTATGGCTTTCCAGAGAACAAACAATCAACCTCTACTATAATTGATATTATAAGCTAATTTTTGACATGTGAGTTTTAATTTAAAACAATAGTTTAAATTTTAAAAATGATGTAAGGGTGCTGCCAGAAAGAAGTGCTTTTTGTTGAGAATGGCTCTGCCTTAGAGCATGGCTGACTCTAAGCTAGGTTTCACGAGTAGGTCAGCAGTGTGAGTGCAGATTAGATATTCCTCATAGAATCTCAGAAATTTCATTTGGAAAACCAAAAAATTTGCAGTTCCAAGTATGATGATGTAGTCAGGATGACTGTTGAGGAAATATGCTATTACGAAAAGTCTATTTGAGCATATATTCTAAAGTTTATTTATATAGGGCCTTTTAATTTTATATTCTAAAATTATTCAGCTCTTTCATCACTTCTGTGATGTAATATGAATTTTTTGATAATTATATGTGTATGACATTTATAAGTAAACAGTTGTTAATTGGGAAAAATTTGAAAATTCATTTTCTAGACAAAAAATACATTTTCAACACCTTTGATTTTCAATTAGATTAAAAGTATCTAAATGAAAGTATACAAAATTTAAAACCAAAATCCCATTGCCACTGAGTCGATTCCAACTCATAGCGACCCTATAGGCCAGACTAGAACTGCCCCATAGGGCTTCCAAGGAGTGGCTGGTAGATTTGAACCACTGACCTTTTGGCTAGCAGCCAAGCTCTTAACCACTGTCCTACCTGTGCCCCATATAAGGTTTACCTATTACAAATTATTATTTCAAGCAAGATAAATCCAGAATATTAGAAATGTTTATTTTTTAATTCAACTCAGTTTTACAAACATTTATTTAGCAACTTTTATGTGTAGACATTGTACTAAGCTCCAATGAACACTATTTACAAAATAACTTACATTTCTGTGAGCAAGAGGGAGAAAATTAAATTAATTCAACCAATTATTAAGTACTAATATTATCTCTATTTCAGGTTTTATAGAAGATAAATACGGATATTAGATATATCTGCCTATATCACAAAGATAGCTAGGTGGCATAAATGGTTAGGTGCCCAACTAATAGCTGAAAGATCGGAATTTCGAGCCCACCCACAGGCACCTCGGAAAATAGGCCTGGTAATTTGCTTCTGAAAGATCACAGCCTTGAAAGCCCTATGGAACAGTTCTGCACTAGGCAAATGAGATCTTTATGAGTCAAAACTCACTCAGTGGCAACTAACAACAATAACAACGTATCACCAAGTATAATGTATACTTTATACTTTGTATGGTATGTATGTGACTGTACTTTTCAAAAAACAGAGTTCTATACAAATGTCAGACAAAGTTGGAGGCTGATGTCAACTTAGTTTAATCCTTCAAGCATTCTAATTTTACCTAGTTGGGCATTTCCAGATATGAGACATAATACTGCTTCAAATATTTTAGTGGTTTTCTTTTTCTGTAGCTTTGATCCTAAGTTGCTATCCTCCTGCTATCACCTTTACTCATTTTTTTTCTAAATTATTTCTTAGAATTAATGTTTTTAAAATACTTTTTGTCCAGATGAGAAGTTTAAACTATTAATAAATACCTTGTTTTTAAAATTCCCCAATTTTCTTTTTAGCCTTTGAGCTCCTTTTTGATATTTTATCAGTTCCTGTGCTCTTTTGAGAGCATTATACTGCCAGTCTTCTCATTGGGTGTGTCCAAATAAAAAAAATACATGTAACAAAATGGTTGTACCTGCCAACTAGGTTATTTTAGAATAGGAATCTATTTACAATGATTCCATACGGCAATTAGAATAAAATATGATTTTATATTCCTCAGAATTGCCAAATTAACAAGAAAATGTTGTTTTATGTGTACATGAATATGTTTTAAAACAACTAAACAGAAGCAAACAAAGTTTAAATTTTGAAAGTGGTTATGTAAGCTGTAACAATCCCCAAATCACTACCCACATTATGTTTTCAAAAATTGAATTCCAATATACTTGATGAAATCAACAAAAAAACTAGCAAACAATATAACCAAGGAACAAATAAATTAGAAGAAATGTGTTAAAAATATGTCATAACATTTCAAGGAAAATCATTTATTTTCTAGTGAATATGTATGCTATAAAAATCACTGCCTTATAGAAAAATTTAAGGCTTTATAAAGGTTTATTTCTCCTAACATGATTGCTACCGACACTACTGTGAGTAGGAAATTAGTACTAAACTTACCGAACGCAATTCTATCAGCACAGTCTCAAATAATGGAGTGGGTTGTCCATTCTGGCAAAACATTAAGTCAGTTAGTTGTGTTCACTGACAAATTCGAAGAGGGGAAGTCTGGGTGAAATCCTAACGTCCATATTGTGTCACTACTGTGAATCTGATAGGACATCAGGTCTGTTGGGAACTCAAAATTGGACAAATTAAAATTCTTTTAACAAGTGAATGTCTATTTTTGAGTGCCCTCACACCTCTGTTATTTGATTAACCCTGAAAGATAAATATAAAAATAACAAAGTGTATTTATTAATGGTTCTAATGGCAATACAGTACATGGATATATCAAAATATATCTAGTAGTTTTGGGTTTAAATAGAAAAGACATCACCAAAGTGAAGCAGGTGAGAAATGGCTAGTTTACAAAGTCCCTGCCTTAGGCTCCAAACTTACCTATCTGCTCAGACACCTTCTTTCAGAACTTCCACTTTTTTTCTTTGGGGATGGAAAAAAGGGTGATGACCTGCTTCCTGCTGAGGCTGAATATTATACCATA